TGATCAGTTTCCATCGGCTGCTTCTTGTCCTATTTGGAGAATAGGCTGAGCCCCCTTCTTCCTTGTGGCAGCCACTCAAATATTGGAACACTGATATTAATCAGGTCACCTTGAAGATATTCTAGTACAACCCCCTCCCCCTCTGCTCAACCAAGAGATGTGGGAGGGACAATACTTAGGACTCTCAAATATTGCTATCATGTCACCCCTAATACAAGTGCAGGTCAGAATAACTGATTAACAGAGTTGGAAGGGACCTTGGAGGTCATCTAGGCCAACCCCCTGCTCAAGCAGGAGACCCTACACCATTTCTGACAGATGAGCAGTCCAGTCTCTTCTTGGAAGCCTCCAGGGATGAAGCTCCCACAACTTTTGAAAGCAACGTCTGTTCCATGGGTTGATTGTTCTCACTGTCAGGAAATTCCCCCTTATTTCCAGTTTAAATCTCTGCCCCTGGTTGAACCTGGGTTTAGCATGTCGTGGGAACCCAACCAGAAAGTCCCAGCCTCTTTCCCCAGGCAGCTCAAGCAACCTCAAATTCAGACCTCCTCCTTCTCCCCATCCTCGGATTTCCAACACCATTACCTGTAATCCACAGCGCAGTTGAAGAGGTGGGTGTGCAAAACGGTGATGATGGCGGGGGGCACGAAGCCCAGGATGGGGTCATCCAGCACATCCAGGAAGTCGATCAACTGGCAGAAGGAGATGGGGCCGTGAGACTTGAACCCAGAGCCCCGGAGCCCTGCCCTGGCCCGCCGGATCTCCAGCACCCGGGAGTTAAGCTCAGCCCGGTCTAAGAGAGGATAGAGAAAGGGGCGGCTCCCAGGTGCTGCTCAGACCCTCCCCAGCTCCTCCTCTAACCAGAAAGCAGCCAACCTTCTTTGGGGGGGATCCGTCCTCACCTGCGTGTACCAGCTCTGGTGGGCTAGAGCCATGCGGTGCCGTATGGTGGCACCCTCGAGGCGCAGCGTCACCAAGAACTCCTGTAACCCAGAAGGAAAATGTGAGTCACATGTCGGTTTTCTCCCCGTGTGTTTGGCCCTCCTTTGCCCGGGAGGAAGACAAGAAAAAAAATCTGCCTCTGCGTCTGCCTCCCAGCAATTTGCCTCCTTGCAGCAAACAGCCCATTTCAGTTTCAACACAGCCTGATTAGCACAAGCAGCTGATTGTTGGGCCGATCAGCTGTTTGAGGCTGCAGGAATTGCCATTGCCCATTGCTGCCTCCGCATCCTGTTTTCGGCCTCCTCGCGCCCCATTTTCCACCAGTTCTACACGGTGGGGATCGGAATGGGTGGAAAATGGGGCGTGCAGAGGCCGAAAACAAGATGCAGAGGCCGAAAACGGGGTGCGCAGAGGCAGCAATAGGCTGTGGCAATCCCTGCAGCCTGAAACAGCTGATCGTGGGGAGGCCCGACAATCAGTTGCTTGTGCTAATCATGGTGCTGTCATTGAAACCAGGTGGTCGCTGTTTGCTACAAGGAGGCAAATTGCCAAAGAATGGGGGCCAGCGGGTGGGCGGGACTACATTTGGTGTATAAGATACATCCAAATTTTGACCCTCTTTAGGAGGGGTGGGAATGTGTCTTATATTGCAAAAAATAAAGTAATTACATTTGGTTGTTGTTTACCCACATGATTAAAAGATTGTTCCTATCCTGTTTTGAAAAGGGATTTGTTTTACTCGTGAGTAAGTGGCTTATCATTACTTCAGAAGGCTGGCTGAGACCAGTACCTTTATGTTCTTCTCCATATCCAGCTTGATCTGAATGGCCACGGACAACATCTTGAAGGGGCCGTCCTTCTTGGCCCCCAGAGGCCAGCTGATGGGCCCCTCTTGGGAGGCGTAGATGGTGGGGTGTAGCCCGTCAGGGGGCAGGAAATTGGGAATCTCCAGATGCTCAGCTGTAAGATAGTCCTCCACGACAGCTGGGGGAGAGAAAGCATCATGGATTAAGATAAGCTGCCATGGTCTTTGTCTCTTCCCAACCCCGTTTACTGTCTCCCCCTACTCCAAAAATTAGAAGAAGAAAAAGCAGCAAGGGTACAGTCGGACAAAAATGTCAGACGCGTTCCCCAAAACAAGAAATAGAGTCCCCGATTTATGGCAAAATTTGGAATCAGGGTTTCCATCTGTAAACACTGAGTTCACAAAGCGGAACTGCTTAATGATGGCAATCTCGGCAAACCTGATTGCTATTTTTAACAGTCATTAGGCGTGGGAACTTCCTGCTGTTTTTCTGGGGCCAAAATCAGTGGGGAAGCCAGTGGGAAGTCGCATACTGCCTGGGGATCTTTGGGGAATGAAGACTGCCCTTCTCAAATAGTTGCTCTACAGCAGAGTTCCCCAACCTGTCCGGGTTGGCGGCCCAGAGGAAGAGACGGGGGAAAAGAGGGAATGGTTTTGTGGGAGGAATAAGTGTATGTGTGTGGATAAGTGTATGTGTGTGCACATGCACCCGTTGCTTGCACAAGTGATGCTCCAAGCACCAACAATACTCACGAGACTGAGGCACCGATGCCCACGAGTGGGGCCTCAGAGTGTCCGTGACCCTTGCACAAGTAGGGCCATGAGTTTTGGTGACGCTCACGCAAGTGAGACACCGAACATCTGTGACACATACGCGAGTGGAGCTGTGCACGCGTGCTCAGGCACACACACCAGCTGGTCTTTCACACGACCTACTTGTGAATGGGCTGCGGCTCACGAGTTGGGGACCCCTGTTCTACAGGACAATTCAACTGAGCCGGTTGCCTACACACACACACACACACACACACACACACACACACACACACACACACACACACAC